TCGGGAACCGTGCACTGAATCACAAAAAGTGGCAGTAATCCAGGCACGGTGTCAGACCCCTGCTTTTGACAGCCTAGCCTATCATGGTCACGGGGCCACTGTCACCCTTTCCTCGCTGCTACTGCTCGCTCACGTGACAAACACAGAGGTGAGCAAGCAGGTCACAATGGGGAGTAGGAAGAGAGCACCCAAGAGCTGCTTACCTTTGGGCCCCTGCTCAGGGGTGGCCCTCAAGCCTCTGCCAACCACATCTGCTCTTGACATTGGCCTTGCAAAGGGCAAGTGCATCTTCAAATTCCTAGATGATTTACAGTAAACCTAGATTGGATTTTCATTTTTCCAGCATTCAGGCCTCTAAGCCGCATCTCAGCAAACCCTGCATGTGCTTTTTCCTTCAACATGGTTGTTGAATTGTTTCCTGGTGTCATCCAACTTTCCAAGGCAGCTAGAGAGCTCGGAGTTTTGCTTGTTTTTCCACTCTGTTTTCCACTTACCTTCCAGCACTTGTGCAGCTGTTGTCAGATCTGCTATCAGCTAAAATGTCACCATACTGGAACTAGTTCATTAGGATAAACAGCAGCAGAGAAATCTCTCAGGTCAGCAAAAATTGAATGAAAACACAACAAAGAACATTTGGGCTGCTTGACCCTGTCTAGGTGACAAGCGAAATACTCATATAATAAGAGCATGTTCACATTCCAGTTAATGCTTCAGGGAAGTTTGCAAAGAGCACAGAACCAAGTCAGGCTGGAGATCAAGAAGTCAGACTTGGGTGGCCACCCTCAACAAAGTGAGGAATGTCTTTCCACCACAGGGACATCACTTGGTCTTCCAACCACTCAATTATTATCAGTTGTTTGCCTGCTCTTTGAGAGCTGGGAATGAATCCAAGAAGTGAAGAATGTAAACATCCTTAAACTTCTGGAAAAAGTACCTCTTCTCTTCCTGGTTCCAAATCAAGCTAGATGGCGTAACAGAACCTTCCCCAAGCCAGTGGCCTTCAGATGTTTTCACAGAATCACAGAATAGTAGAGTCAGAAAGATCCAAGAAGGCCATCGGGTTCACCCCGCTCCCAGTGCAGGACACCCGTTACACCATCCCCCTCAGATACCTGCCTAGCTTCTTCTTGAATGTCTCTAGTGTGGAAGAGCACACAATCTCTCTTGGCAACTGGTTCCACTGCAATATTGCTCTGACAGTTAGGAATTTCTTCCTTGTGTCTAGCCTGCACATGGTATACCGTAGTTTAAGTCAATTGTTCCATGTTCCGTGGACTACAGATCCCAGGATTCCCTGCCACTGGCCAACCTGGGTGCTGAAGTCCTCAACTTCAGCACCTGGGTGCCAGGTTGGGAATGCCTTGCCTTACATAAGGATGCAAAGGTCAGGCTCGAATCCTCATTGGCTCCTTTCCCATGGTCGGCCTTGGCCAGGAAGTGAGCCAAAATGAGATCAAGCCCAGGAATGCTAGCAGCTTCTTAGCACAAACGACACAATTCTCTGTGTGAAGTGCCTAAGGTACACAAAACCCACAAACCACACATGTGGGAGCAGAACTCCACTTGTACAGTGGGCACAAGATGGTGCTGCAGACTCACTTCCTGCCACCGACCCAGACAAACACCCGAGGTGGACTTAATGCAGAGAGTGGTCCAGTGTCCAGGCCCCTTGCTGAGGAAATCTAATGGATTCCCACTGCCAAACCAGACCCCTCACAGATGTCTCCTACTTGCCACATGCTGTAGGGACAGGCATCTGTGGACAGAGGGAGAAAGGGGCTCAGGAACAGGCAGATGGCCTCCTCTGAACCAGCATTTAGCTTCCCCTGGGGACTGCTCATGGACCTTGAGAATGGGAGTAAAGGACCAGTCACCTCCTGCATATTGTTGGACTACAACTCCCACCATCCCTAGCAACACTGACTGGGATTGGTAGGAGTTGGTGCCAAGCTACTTTTGGAAGGCCAGCCCTGTCCACAAACACGGTGGCCTTCTCCCTGAGCTTGTCCTGAGGTGTGACCTTCTGGGTACACTGCCTTCACACAGTGAAGTTCTATTACTCTACCATGGTCAGTAAGAGCGCTGGGGCAACGTTTTCTTTGATGCATTACTCCACACCTTGTAAAAAGCCACCTGAGACTAGTGCAATGTAGGAGTTAGAATACTGAACTTGGACTGGAGAGATTCAGATAGAAATTTCCACTGAAGACCGAAACTCATTGGTGACGTGGGCTTGTCCACCCATCGTTCAGCTTAGCCTGTGAGGATAAAATAGGGAAGGGAGTGGATCACATGCGCTTCCTAGAGTACTTTGGAGGAAATACATTCCATGAGTCAAGATAATAGGAGTGAAAAATGGTATCAGAGAAGTGAAGGAGTGATAACAGAAAACACAGAGACTGAGAGCACGGATAACGGTCGTGAGAGAGTAAGAAGACAAGAGCGTATCGTGAGGAACTTCCTGTCATACACTGCAAGCCTGAAAGTAAAAATATACTCTAATTTTCAAGCAAGAATCGAAGCCAGGAAACCGGATGTGGCTAAAAATTGTGGCTGGCTGTAGCTATTCCTCCCAGTTTTGCAACGAGGACTAATTCAGAGTCCAAAAGATGCCCACCTAGCCAGCCTGCGAACCTGCTCCTTCATGAAGACATGGTGATTACTGAGGACTAGTCTATTTTTCCTTGTTCTGAGGGGCCACTTACATCCAGAGTCTCTATCTCAGCCTTCCCCTGACTCGGTGTTTCCCAGATCATTCAGACGCCAACGTTCACCCACCCCAGCCTGCATGGCCGACGGTCAGAAATCCAGGGAATCGGCACTGGAAAAGATCTGGAGGTAGGGCTGTACAGACATGTTCCGCCTAGATTCACAGATTCTCAAGCATCGTTTGCTTTGCTGTCTGCTCATTGACAGACACAGATTATTTTTTTGAAACCAAGCTTTCATTCCACTTGTGCTAAATCACATTAACACGGAGGCGCATTTGCTCTAATGTGAATTAGCAGAAATCCCCCGGTAAGGCACAGAGCCGGGCTTGCAAGCTTGCAGCATCTGTGTGACTCAGAGAAAGCTGGTCCTCTGCAGAATCTTCAGGTCAGAGTCAGAGAAACGAGCTCTTGCTTCCAGCCGCTGCAGATTTTTCTGACATCCACATCTGGAGGGAAGCACGTTGGGAAAGTCCCTTCTGTTCCATTTGGATTTGGCAGCTGATTTCCGCCCATCCCAGCACCTAAGTGCTGATCCGAATTTGCTTGGGTCCAGTAAGGGTGCACCCCCATACAGACTGAGATGGGAATAAGAACTTACAAATCCTACTATTCCCAGCTGGGAGATGTAGGACTCTGTTTTCCCTCTGAACACATGGAGAATCATGCCCTCAGTATTTTAGACAGCAAGGAAGGGATGAGAGAAACTGGCAGACTTTCAAAGGCATTGCACTCTGCTCTCTGGAACGACCTCCCCCAGTAGGTTTCTTCTAGATGTCTAAAGAGATCGGTGGTGAGATTATGGGATGGTGTTCCTCCCCGTTACCAAAGATAACGCTCGAGTCTGTCTTGTCCTCGCGTTTTGCCATTCGACATGTTACTACTGGAAATGAGCAAGCGCCAGTTAGGAGAGGAACGGGCACAAATGAGCACCGGCTTTCGAGGCCTTTGCGGGGAGGCCGGGTGGGGGCGAGGCGCATCGCCTTTACTGTGCTCGGGAGAGCGGCTGTCGGCTGCCTGCGATGAGACAGACGGGGGAGAAAAAATGGAGCGAGAAGAGGAAGACTGGCAGTTTGGAAGGGCTATCGGCAAATGGATTTTGACAGCTGTACAGCAGAAGGATTTTAAGTATTCACAAATGGATGCGACAGCCGCATAACAACAGGGGGGAGAGGGGTGGGGAGGGGAGTTGGAGAATTGCCATTTTCTTGGTGGAAGTGATCTTGTCATGTCGTGGATGCAAAGCCCCTGGGAGGCGTGGAGAGGAACCATGTTTTCACATGGATGGCAAAGATCGCCCCTTAGAGAACTCCAGGGATCTAAAGCTTCCTTGGAATAGACATCTGGAAACTCTTCGGCCTGAAGGCCAAATCCCAATTTGAAGAGGCTGCTGGGGGCACATTCCAGCGGTGGAAAGTGCCAGAGGCAAGCGGGAAAAGCCAAATTACTCCCGTTCCCAATCAGCAGATTTTAGCATAAAGCTCATGCTGTCTTACCCAGGTAGTTCAACATCTGAGAACGAGGAGGGAGGATGCATAAAAGTCAGGAAACCACAAAATAGTTTGTGGTCGGGAAAAAAGGGGTGAGGCCAGAGGACAGGGGTGTGGCTTTTCTGGAGGGCCCCCGAGGGCTGGATTTGGATTTGAGGCAGGCTGGACATGGCTCCGGGCCGGAGGTTCCGCACTTCTGTAACTGAGCTTGGGAGAACGTCAGGAAAATAAAACTGCTTCCACTTAAAATCTGAAATTACCTTCCCACTGGGAAGAAAATGTTAGACTAGAATCCATTTCATCAGATTAAGTTGTAATAGGAGAATGTGCAGGTTGGGGTGGAACGTGAGCTGATGGCGCATGCAGAAGGCCCTGAGTTCAATCCCCAAAGTCGCTGGGTAGGCTGAAACCCTGGAGAGCTGCAGCCAATCAGTGTCGGTAATACTGAACTAGATGAGCCAATGATCTGGCTCAGTCTAAGGCAGTGTGTCTCTGTTGACCAGTGTGCGTGAGATGACACAGTGACCCTCCTCCACAAAACTTATGCTGTAATGAATGTGCTCTCCTTTAAGACCTCGCCTGACTCTTGTTTTTCCCCAGATAAATTTAGCTTTATAAGGAAACAGCTTTATAAAGATGCTCCCCACCCCTGACATTGATACAACGCATTGCTCCTTTGGACCTTAAGCTCTTGCTCTAGCAGCACTCCCAGGACTTGCTTCTCGCTGTGCTGTGGCTTCCACCAAAAGCTTGTCTAGCTGGGCCTTCCTATTGTTCCTTTCAAGGGCTCACAGTCACACACCTGCTATTTTCTGTCTTGCACTCGAGTTTTTCTTGAAAAGCAATTGCACTCTCTGCAGGCACACAGAAATCCTGATAGCTGCCATTCTGCAGACTCCCATCAGGTTGGCACTGTATGAAACAGAAACAGATTTCTTTCAAAGAAAGAAACTTGGTTCTTCTCCACCCCTGCTCATGATTAATAATTTCAGACAGAGCACACCGAAGTCTGAGCTTTCAATACAGTATAGAGATTGCCAGCTGGGCACGTTTGGCCAAAAGCATCTCAAAGTAAGCTGATAGATCCGGCAACGCTGCAGCTGAAGTTTATTGTCAATTACGGCATCTGACTGAAGCACCACTTTCCTTTCTTTTGAGTCCATTAAGAACATAAGAAGATCACTGCTGGATCAGAGCAAGAGCCATCCAGCCCAGCATTCTGTACAGCCAACGAGCTGTCCATGGCAAACCCACAGCAGAAACAGTACCCTCTTTTCCACGTTCCTCAAGGAGAGGATATTAGCCAACTGGGCCATAGCCAAGGAGAGCTCTTGTCTCCATGAAGTTGTCCGATTCCCTTTTAAAGCCATCCGAATTGGTGGCTGCCAACAACATGCATTGCTTTATTCTCAAATCCAGAACCTTTGGGAGTTTGTTCTGGCGCTCTTAAATGGCCTATGCAAAAATGATTCCATAGTCAGTGATCAAAGTGAAAGGAAACCCACAGGTTTAAGATCAGCGTTAAAGCTGCCTCATCTTGTCGCAGGGAGGCAGATGCCCTCACAGATGTGACCCGTGATATGTTGTTGTGCCATCTCACCTTCTCCCTATTTTATTTACTTAAAGATATATTTAGGTTACCTTTAAGGGTAATCCTCTCACCCCGGGTGCTTTATCAGGTTAAAAAAAGAGAAATGCTTAACAGAAATCAGTATGTACATACTTAAACATAGCTTATGAATAAAAATCAGTAATAATATTTACAAATAAAAACAAATGGCCCAAAATTATAAGGGAAGGCCAGCGAAAATTGGTGGATCTTCAGGACTTTCCTGAAGAGTTGCAAAGAAGGGCATGATGAATATTCAATAGCAGGCAATCCCAGAGGTCTGGGACTACTGTGACTGAGAAGACTCTCTCCTCTTGCAGTCACCAGGTCAGCTGCCCTAGGTGATGGGTGCAAAACAGGCCCTTCTAGCGATGGCTTCAGCACATGAGCAGGTGGCCCTTCAGGTAGTTTGGCCCCATGCCATTCAAAGCTTGGATGGTTAACATGAGGATTTTGCATTAGGCTCCAGAACATACTGGCACCTGGAGTAGTATCGGTGTCACATGATACCAACTCGCCTTCTCTTAAAGCTTGGAAGGAGGATCCCCTTCTCCATGTCGTGCCAGCAGTCAAGCTATGACTGGCTGGGACAGGGGACATGGCATTTGTAATGGCTGCACCTCAGCTTTGCCCGTCTCTCAGGGCCTGTGCCATTCAGTGGAAACGTGGCTACTTTGCAGGACTTCTGTTGAGATAAGCAGGAAGCTTGTTTTTTACACTGACACCCCAGTAAATATAATTATTACAACCTGTCATGCCAGTGGAAGGGGTGTGAGGAAAGACAGGGGAGAGAGAGATTGAGAGGCAGAGAAAAGGAGAGAGAGGATTTAGAAGGCTGTTCACCCCGGCCATCAGTTACAAAGGGGAGGGAGAGATTTGATCAGGACAGCCCTGCTACCCGCCCATTCGTGAAGGCCTCATTGTTTCCTTGCCACTATGAAGTTATTTATCCAGTCTTGCTCTCCCCATCCTGTCTGCTGAAAAGGCTAAGATGATTATGCAAGTGTTCTGCCTGGCCACTTGCTCTCTTAATCCTTGGCTGATGTGACATTTTAATGGACAGTGGGAGGGAGTGTCTTGGGCAGAGTTCATGGAAAGATGTTCTTTCTCCTCTTTTGTAGCATTGCTGTGTTTATTCCGGCCCCCTCCAAACTGGCCCATGCAGACGTGCCCCATTATAACTACCTGGGAGTTCCTGCTCCATGTATCTGAAGCATGCCAGGATGGGTTAGAGTCCTGACCTTGGAGCACGAATACGGACCAGGGTGCCTCCATGCAGATCAGCCAGAGCCTGGGCAGATTGTCCTGTGGTTACTGTGGCAAGACCTAACTGAATTAATGATGGTTTCAGAAACAGTCGCCCCATTGACTGAAATTCTTCTATTCGCAAATAATCATCTTTGTGGAGAGCCTGGATTGATGCCTCCCAAAATTACCATTGAGTTCAGAATCGACTGAGAACTACAGAGGAGCAGCGTGAAAATCTGCAAAATTTGAACTTGCGTGAGTTCTCCAAATCCCACCTCAAAGTTCATTCTTATTTAAGCCCATGTCAGGTCGTGGCCTTTGTTTTCCTTCCTTATGAAATCCATGCATATTTGCCCATTTCCCCCCCAAAAGTATACGTTACTTATACACACTTCTGAATACAGGCATTTTTCTCCCATTTATTAGAGTATTTTTGCACATCCCCCCCAAATATTTGTTTAGTGGTCACTTTTAAAATGTTCTTTGCCTTTTCTTATCTATGCATCACACTGTAAACTCAGAAATGCATGGACTTTGATCAGATTGCTTCTGAGTCCAGTTGGAAAGCTGTGAACTGGACAGACACTGATCAAAACTGAGGTGAATTCAGTTTCTCATACACCCTACCCTGAAGCGTGCACAGGAAGGAAGTGAACTGAATCCAGTTTCTCATACACCCTAACCAGGAGCACATGCAGGCAGGGAGGGCACAAGAAGGGGGGCAGCCAACCCACACCTAGTTTTGTTAGCTTCTCCCATAATTACCACCACCACCACAATGCTGGCTCCACCGGGTGATGGGTCTGCAGGTGCTTGGAGGCAGCGAGTGAACATTACATGACACCACACATGTAAAGCCAATAAAAAATCTATGGAATGTGCTCCCCAGAGAGGTCTGCCTGGCGCCATCATTATTTGTTTTTCAGCGCCAGACGAAGACCTCTTTATTCAAACGGCATTTTAACTGTTAATACTATTTATTTATTTTATTCTTCGGCCAGGGCGACTTATTTTATATTAACTTGTTTTATATTTATATTTTTATTGTATAATATTTTAATTGATATATTTGTGAGCTGCCCCGAGGCTTCGGGGAATGGGGCGGCATAGAAATTTTCTAAATAAATAAATAAATAAATAAATAGGGGGCTAAGGAGCAGGAGCAGGATGCCATGTGGCACAACACTATTACAAACTACACCTCCCAAGATGCATCTTGATATGGCACATGTCCAAGGTGCCCTAGACACAGCACAAGAAGTCCTATTAAAGGAGGGCTCCCCTCCAAGCTCTCACGGATGAATTTATTATTTCCCACATCACTAAGAGATTAACTTGGCAAAAAGTCTCATTTGAGTGAAGAGAATGTAACTCTCTGATGACTTGGGCACCCAGTCTGTTCTAAACCATGGATATTCTTGCAAGTCAACACTGCAGTGCATCAATGGTGGCATTTACTGGGAATTATCCTAACATTTTGAAGTGCATTGGAATGACTTACATGCAAAAAAAAAAAAAAAAAAAAGGAAGTGCTTCCTCGGGAGGTCTCAACCGAGATCCATTTGGGAAGTAAACCCACAACATTTACCTGCCTAAAAATGGCACCAGCTCACTGGGTTTGCTGCGGTAATGGGGAATGCATGGCTGGGAACACTTATGAGGGAGAACTTTACATATTGGGGGGTGCCTAACTTCACCCTGGGCCTGATTCTCCACTGAATATGCCCTCCTGGGTGGTTTTGCACTGGCTGAGCTCACTTCCACTTTCTGGAGAAGCCCTGGGATGGGTTGCGCACTGGAAAAACCTGCCTGGGTTAAAAATCTCCTCCTAATTGTCAAACGTTTCTTGCAAAAATGCCTCCCACCCCCCTGCCACTACATTTTCTCTTCAAGCAATATAGGCAATTGGGAATGCATTTTTAAAAACAGAGTCATCACAGTCCCCATGTTTCAGTATTTTACAATGGCAAGCACAACATTTTTGGCACCTACATTGCTTCACTTAAGTGTTCACGTAGGTGGTTTGTTTGTGGTTAGGAGAAGGATTACAGGGAAGAGCATGTTAAATAAGCTGAGAAAATGTACATATTCATTCTAAAAGCAGGAGGAAGATGACACTGATTGTTTAAATAATGGTGTTTTACAGGTTTGAAGAACTTCAAGAAGACAGTAGATGAAGGAGGTACAATTTGATGGGTAAAGCTAGCTTGAGGAGTGAGAAAGAATTTAGGCTTTGATAGGATGTATTTTAACACAATTTGCAAGGCTGTGGATATTTACTAAAGTATATTCTTTATATACTAACTAACTGAAGATATGATATATTCTGTATATAATATTTTGGATGAGAATGCATACAGAAAATAGTTTGAAATAAATTAGCATTCATTTAGGTCTGACTGGTTTTTAAAAAGCCATTATAATTTCTCAGATCAGTATTTTGCAAATACTGCCAAGATGCAGTATTTTGGCTTGTGACGGCAACAGGATAAGCGCAAAACCCCAAACCAAACCAAACGATCCAGCGGTGGGTGAGATAACACCAAGGCAGCACACAAACACACCTGCACAATTGGCCCAGCTCCACTGCCATAGTCCTCAAATGGGCAGAGGTGGGGACAGGGCAGGGAGCAAAAGACATATACGAAATCTTGCACCCCTTCGGGGCCCAGCCTTAGCCACATACTGCAGACAGCATGACTCTTAATTGCTCATAGCTATGCTGGTTTCAGGCTCCAACTCTTGCTTCTGGAACAAAGCAGCTATGCCACAGCGAATGCTCCCTTTTGCAGAACTACAGTCCCACATTCAGCAGCAAGGTTCAGAAGCAAGTCCAAGCCATAGTCACAGAGTGGGCCAAGGTCAAGACCCAGAAGTATGGCAAGACAAGGATGTGGTCACGAACGAGCCAACAGTCAAGAACCAGGAGGAAAAACAGAGGCACAGATACCTTGAGGCAGGATAACTGGGGAGGATTCAGGTGCAGCAAAGCTATAGCAAACAAGGCAAGGTAGCGAGGCATCAACAGGACAGGACAGGGCACATGGCAAACAGAAAGACCTACTTGTATATTACTGAGGCAGCTTCTGGAGGGAAGAGCTTGCACTTCTATACCTGTTCCCAGGACTCCCACCTGGCGCTCGTCAGTGCTGAGAACTCCAGGAGGGCCTGGGACTGATCCTGCAACTCCTGAGGTCAGTGTTCTGGTTCTGGCCACCAGCTGGAGTTTGGAGTTACATGGAGTTTGACCCCCATGTTATTGTGACCCAGGAGACATCAGAGCAAAGTCCAACCCTGGAGCCACACTGTCGTATCTGCATACATGTGCAAAAGTACACTTGATTTTACCGGGGGTTTGCAGGTCTTTGGTGCAATGCTGCCCAGCCTGCCTGGAGGTGCCCGTTACATAATTCTGGTAGGGTTTTATCTAAGGTAATAGAAATTAGGGGAGTGTCTAGTTGTCAAAGAAACTGTAGCACCTGCAAAAGCAGCTTCTTTGAAGCCACGGCAAAGACTGGCAACTCTTACCCATCAGCTCCACTTCCCTGGCCTTACTGCATTTCTCTGTTTTCTCCTGGTGTGAACGTTCTTTCCACTAAGTTAATTTCTCCCGCCTCCCTCACAGCAGGGAACCAGTCTATTAAAATGAAATAGCCTAGGGTGAAAAACCATGTCAGATGGGGCAGGAAGTGATCAATATGGCAATTCTACTGGTGCACAACGAAAGAAAAATACCAGATGCATCTGGATCCTATGGAGTCCGCCCAGCCCTGCCCTGGCTTGTCCCCAAGTGCCTGAATCAATGTGTGGAAAGTTTTCTATGAACAAAAACAATAAATACCTGAAAGCTCGAACATTAAATATAGAAATATTGAAACCGGCGATAAATACCACCTGGGATACTCAACCTACTTTAAAGGGTTTGGAGGAACAGGTTGTGCATTCATTTCTGTGCATTCCCTTTTTATTTTTCATCTAACTTCCTTTAATACACACACATAGTCTTACCCACTTGTTTCCGCTTTTCTCTCAACACAGTTGGCCTGGATTCAAACTTAGCCAGAGAACAATAAGATTTAAGCTGGAGATGTTAAGTTCATTCCAATTAATTTCCGTGAGCCTGCTCTAAGCAGCAGTTATTTATTTACTTGTTTTTCTAAACTGTCCAATATTTTTTCATTTTTATTTATTCCATTTCTATACTGCCCCACAGTCAAACCTCTTTGGGCAGTGTACACAGGCTATAAAAACAGATGATATTTGCATTCCCACTGCATATGGAAATATATAAATGAGTTTTGGGAAGTGGTTTTCAAAGAAATTAGTGAAATACTGAATGTAAAAGCAGACTCTGGACTAGCATTATTATTATTTAGAGAACAAGTGGGTCAAAATACTAAAGAATTAATGACACACTTATTAACAGCAGTAAGATTAATAATAGCAAGGAACTGGAAAATAAAAGATTAATATCGTATAGTGGACTGGTATAAAGAAGTCTGGAATATAGTTATTAATGATAAGTTAACTTGTGACTTTAAATGGAAAAAAGGTTTGATAGGTAAAAATAATTTTGAAAATATTTGGAGACCATTTATTGAATATGTCTTAATAAAAGGAAAGGGGTGTGAACCATCATAGGAGTCAATGCAGCTCTGGAAGGGAAGTGGGGTGACCTGAATGAACAAATGATCTTACATTAAGTGACTTGATTTGTTGGTCCTGGAGGAGGCAGCACAGTTACTATTGTATTGTATTGTATTGTATTGTATTGTTTATTTATTTATTTTATTTATTTAAAACTTTTATATGCTGTCACCACATGCCTCGGCATCTTGAGTATGTTTATTACTAATGTTTAATTAAGTTCATTACTATTATATTAATTGTATTATTTATGCAAGTTCAATTAAAATTTATAGAAAAACAGATGATAAAAGTACACCAAAATATCATAAAATCAGAAAAATATAAAGTTTAAAACAACTAAAAAGTGATAATAAACACAGACAATATCCAAAGTCCAGTGGAAGTTCACAGTAAATAAAATACAGCATAATAAAATATGACATGTGTATAAAACCTAGAGTTTAAAACTAAAGTAAAAAGTGAAACCCACAGTACTTGTAAAGATTTATGCATACAATGACAAATTTCAAAGCAACAAAAATGAAAGAAGTGAACTGCCTGGGAGAATAAGACAGACTTCACCTGGTGCTGAAAAGGCCAGAATGTACGGACCAGGTGAGCCTTTCAGAGGAAGCACTGCACGATCCAGCCTGTTACCTGTACTTGCAGGTATACAAATGGACCAAATGTCTGTTGGGT